TTAGTGCGTTCGCTGACTCGGGCTGATCGCTGATAGACCCCATGAACACGGATGAAGACGGTACGCCCATATGTCAGCGCTGGTTGCCTGTACAGATGTGCTGATGATTGTATTGTCCCAGATCTCGTACGCGTCCGCGCGATGATCTGAGAGACTGCGACCGTGGTAATGGTAGACCTCCCAGTCGAGAACAGGAAGACGCAGGCTGACAAGCCTTCAGCTTCAGCTTCAGCAGGTTGGCGGAGACAAGACAAAGACAATCGGACTTACGCAACAAGCCGTAGTCCAATGAATTTCCCGTCGACTGTCAAGAAACATGGGGTTTGCTTTCGGATATACCTAGTCTGTAAACCGTAGATGTCCTCATCAGAGAATGCCAACCGTTGTAGTTCAGAGCAGAAGAATTAGCTGAACAACCGGAGAAGTCGTTGTGGGTACCTCTCGTCCGAGTGTGTTGAGATGAGGAGGACCTGGACAAGTGTCCGACATGCATGCTAGCGCTGCTAAGTACACTGACCGATGATGTAAGGATCTACCCGACAGGTAGGTCGTCAAATCAGTCATATAATGATTCTACGTCAGGTACTTATGCTTTCATAGACGCAAATGTACGTCTTGGTACAGTGGCGGATCCCCTTGGGCTCGTGCCCATCTCGCGAACCAGCCACCATGGCCAGACGAGCCCTACACTTGGTTCTGTCGTGCGTGTTGCAACCTCGTCACTTCCTTCATGATTGCAGCGCCGTCCTCCGGGTCGTCCCCATCAAAGACGACGGGCTGCGAAGAGCGCCCAACGTCAAGTTGAGGGAAAAGCGAGTCCAGAAAGCGAGCGATGATATTGATGTCAGACCGGTGCTCGATGTAGAGCGATCCGTCGACGTGCAACTCTCGAAGCGCACACCCTGTCGCCTCCGAATCCGGAGCACTGTCCGTGTCGGAACAACTTGAAGTGCGCTGCTGAGCGGCCTGGGAGCGTAGGTCATCTAGAGTGCCCTCCCCGTCCTCTAGAGCCCACACTTTCAGACACTCGAGCTGAGGACATGTACGCGCGATTTCACGCAGCGAGTCGAATGTAAGATATTGACATGGCAAGTCGAGAGACCGCACTGTGGGCCATGCTGCTACCAAGCTAGGGACATTGATATCAAAGGTGTCTTCCTCGATCGCGACGTCTTGGAGATGTTGAAGTGCGAGCAGCGGACGAGCAACCGGGTGGAACAGCGTAGCAGTTGTCGTCCTGCCGGTAAACAGAGGTTGAGAGAACCTGATGTCGACTAGACTAAGCTTCCGTAGAGACCCAGCATTTCGGCGACGCAGCGTGTCGAAGGTCGCGTGGAGCACGACCGCCAATACATCGTTACCTCCTTCCTCCAGAAACCCTCTATACCATATCTCCACGTCCTCCAGTCCAGGCGCAACTATCGCATCGATGACCGCCGCCGCCCCCGTCGTCCCCCTTTGAGGAAGAGACGCTTCAGATTCTCAAAGGGACGAATGGGCGGAACGTCCATGTCGTTGCCCGCCTGAGGGACATGCGTACCACTGCGTTCGACCAGATCAATTTCGAGCGCAGTGAGGCCGTGGATGGTGGAGACCGCAGCTAGGGCGGCCCGACTGAGGGCTCGGCGAGATTCAGAAACGCAGAGGGTCCGGATTGTCTGGCTGACGAAACGGCCGCTAGGCACCGACTGCCAAAAGGGAAACCAGAACGCTTCATGTGCCAATTTTCGTAGGTAGAGCTGTTCGAGATTGGGGAGGGCCTGTAACACGGCAGGAAGCATTTGTTTGAAAGCATGTCGCCGCATGCGGTACCCGTATTCGTACGTCTGATGACCGTTCTCCCTCATATTCACGTCTTCGGGAAGGCGCAGGACACGAATCGAGGGGGAAGTCACCGATATGATTTCGGGCGTGGCATGCTCCCATACAAGTTCGCGCAGATTTGGGAAGAGCGGCTGGCCATGGGCATGCTGCTGAAGGAAAAGGAAAATGGATGGTTCTATGGTATCCCCTGTTCCGTAGCGGAGGACGCGTACGAAAGGCGCATAGTGCTTGAATCGTGTCCATTCCTCCGCAGAAATGGGGCCTGGGACGTATTTCTGGGACACTGATCAGAATATGTATATGTCGTCGCAGTCTGCTTGCACATCACTCACGTAGTTATATCGGTAGGTATATGAATCAATGCCTACTGCCATATCCTCGTTAGCCTCGTCGTCTGATTCATGTCCTCCCATAAATTCCTCTTCATTCGTAGGCCACTTGACGCAGCCAGAGCTGAAGTCTCGTAAGACAGCCTCGCAAATGGTGCTCAGCTCCAGCCGTCTCCAAAGAACCCTCACAGCCGACGTGTGGAACGCACGACACACCCGTGCACACCTTGCCAGAGCAGTCCTCGCAGGGCGATTCCGTTCGTCATTGACGTAGAGATGTTGGTGACCCGTTTGTGGTGCAAGATGTCCGCATATGTCGTCCACTAGCTCGAGCGGAATACTGCATGGAGAGGGGGACATGCGGCGCTGAACCGATGTAGGCCGGCTGAGCACTGAGGGCGAAGAGACAGTGTATGCCTGGCAGTCAAGATCCGCGCCAATTGAACGCACACAGAGCACTAGGCAGCCTGAGGTGAGGTTGCAGATATTGAAGAGTAATTGTACGCGACAAGAAGGACAAGACAGAGACCAAGTCCAACAACACTGTCACGACGACCACGACGAGAGGAGGTTGTAGCGCCGTAAAAAGTCACGGTCACCTGATCGTATTCATGTCGCGCGTTGCTCTGAGATACATGGAATCCTGTAATTTGCGCTCTCTCGCAGCACACCTGCACCTTCTCGTGGACCACATACCCCCGCGAATGGCCTTCGCCACCTCTATTCAGCGTCGCCGCCACGTCTCATTGGCTGCCGTGTTGCCTCAATCTAACGCTCGACACGCTCGACGACCTGTCTCCCATCGCCAGGCTATCTACGGATTTTCAGTTTACAGAGGTCCGTTCTCCCTTTATTTGTTCAACCGCGCACATCTTTCGAGAAATCGTGTCCCCTAAATCCCACAGCCAACTCCTCTCAGCCCGCCGCCATCCTTATCCCGCCATTCGTAACCTTCCAAAGCGGCACCAAACGGTGCGCAGGCATTTTGTCGTGCTTTTCTGACTTGTGGGAAGCGATACCTAGGGCATCGCAGTGCTCTGTCGCGTTCTGTGCGACGCTGCCAAACAAGCGCCCGTGATCCTCGCTCCTCGCCTCAACTCATGCCAACTCCTGGAAGCACCAACTCCGCACGTCATGCTCCGCTGCACGCTTACCTCTCATCCTGAGACGTTTCATCAGACACCCCGCGTTCCGCGCGGCTCGTAGTACGTCCGGCATCGCATACGAGACCGTGACAACCACGTACGACCCAACTGGCAGCGCACGACGGACAGCTCGCCAGACGGTGCTACCAGACTATCCACAACCGCGCAAAGTTTGGCTAGCGCTCTTCATGCCTCGCAGTACGCATAGGAACCCCTCCGCACAGGTGCGCCCAGCTCGAGTCACTTGAAAACACACGCCAGACGGTGTTACGCAGAGGACTATCGACAAATGCGTACGATCTTACAGAGGCTACCCGCTCCTCATCTGCGACCGTCTGCAGGGCCTATGCGCACTCGCCCACAACGTCTGGCGCGGACATTGGTCGCTGAACGTGACACATTCCGATCGACACCGACGCCCACGCCTTCGTCTCCACTCACCCCGCAGCGACCGCACACGCCCGCGTCGCAGGCCCAGTCGCTCGTTTCCCTCAATCGTCGACGCAGGCCGGCAAGGCAGGGCGGCCAGGAAGATCCCTGGTAAGCAAGCTTCGACACCAGCAGGCTCGAAGATCAAAGTCAGCCGAACGGGACCTCGCCTGCTCACGCCGACGACGTTGATATCGTGCGTGTCGCACTCGAGCCCGTCTGCAACACGCGGTTAGTGCTCCATCATCTGACGCGATGAACAGCACGACTCACCGATGCGTCGTCGCCCCCCCCCCCCCCCCAGCCCTTGCTTTTATGCTTCGCCTCGGGGTGCTCGTCAGCGCGAAGCCAGTCGCCCCCAGTCGCCGTCGCCTTTTCGAACACCCCGCGCGAATACGAGGATGGCAGCTCTTGTCGGTATTTCAGACGCACGCACGCTGCACGGACGGACACCGATGGGGCACACACGGTGGCGCAGCAAGATGCATCGTTCTTCAAGTTCGGGAGTGCGTGCACGTTGATTGGAGAAGGTTCGTCTTCGGCGATTCATCCTGTATGGTGGACGTTACGCGGCTACCTCGGACATCGTGCTACGTGGAACGAGGCTCCCGCGTACGCTCACCCCGATGAGCAGGGGGACGGTGACGACGCGCGATTGCCTGGCGAGGCTCCTTCAACTCCCATGTAGGCAAGGTCGACGGCGGATGTGGTACGAGTTGGACGAAAAGTGGTTGTGACGAGCTGTGCTTCTGGTCAGTCGGTAGAGGCCTTGTGCGAGAGGGTGCGTACGTCCTTCCATTCACCGATACTCTGTCAAGGTTGTTCCATTTAGCCAGCCAGCGAGGGAAGGACTCGCATACAATTCCGCGGGAGCCCCGTCTCGGCAGCCGAGTTCAAGTTCTCGCCACCTTCCCTCGTGGAACGTTGACCCAAGCCAAGCGACCAAGGAGTTCCCTAACCGGCGAAGCCGTGTTCTGCACGTACTAGGATGGCCTGCCTGCAGGCCTCAATGAGTACGCCTTGAACTGTGACAAGTCATTCAGCGGAGGCATCGTAGAAGATGGTGCGCACGTCCTTCCATTCGCCATTTCTCTCACAAGTTCGTTCTATTCAGTCAGCCGGCGAGGGAGGCACTCGCGTCCAACGCCCGTCGTCCAAGCAACTGAAGGCGCGACTACTGGCGAGTGAACAGATCATACATATTGAGTAAATAAGTACACGTGTTTTGTTCGTGGATGAATCCAGATGCTATGCGCGTCGAGTGTAAACGCCCCTATTCACGAGCCCGTATCTGTCCTTGTAAATCAAACTGGAAAGTAACATGCCAGCGCACTGCGTGGCAGCAAGGCAAGGAACCTGTCAGGAGTTACACGTACTTTTACATCGCGTTCGCTGCAACCGTGACACTTCCTTCAGCACGTCAAGAGCCCTGGACTTCCACAGGTATTTGAGTCTATTATTACGAGTCTCTTCGAGGAAGCATCCCAGCGAGCACTGCCCAGGATTCAGCCGTGGAAAGAGAGCATCCAGGAAGCGGGCGACTTTAGTGGCATCCTCGGGTTCTGGTACCTCCAAGGGAATCGAAGTGCGCAGCTGTCGAAGAGCAGATGTCCGTCGTGCGTCAGGGGCTGCGCTCCCAGCACGAGGGGACGGAGGGACGGTGGGTGGGAGGAAGTCGACAAAGTCTTTCGACAGCCTCCTCACCTCCAGACGCTCGAGCTGAGGGCATTCGCACGCGATAAGTTGAAGGAAGTCAGGGGAGGCTTCGGTGCCTGGCAAGCTGAGGGACCGCAGTGCTGGCCAAGTCGCCACCAAGGCAGGAGAATTCACGTCACTGCCCTGGCTGCTCTGTTGTATAGTGATGCGCTGGAGATGGCGAATCTCTAGCAGCGGGCGTGCGAAGTAGGGAAACGGTGTGTCCGCAGTGGTTCCACAGGGGAACACAGATATGCCAGCCATGGTATGGAGGATCAAGCTGAACACTCGCAGGGATGCCGCGTTCTGGCGACGCAGCCGGTCAAAGAGCTCGGAGAGCGCGGTCTCCAACACGTCTTGATACTCGCGGCCGGGAAGAGTGGTATCCACAGTCTTCAGTGCTATGTCTTCCAGATCTGGTGCGGCAATTGCTTCGACGAGGGCCGCCACCCTTGTTGTGTGGCCCTTTAGAGATAGTCGCCTCAACCTCGGGAAGTGGAAAGTTGATGGTATGTACCATTCCATTGGATCTGCCTCAATGTGGTATGCGTAGGGACCGAGGACGGTGATGTTGAGTTCAGCGAGATTCGAGATGGTCGAGATGGCGGCAAGGGCAGCCGTCACGACGGTGCAAGATGACAACTCGACTATGTGCAGGATGCGGATGTTCTGGTTGACGAAGCAATTGTTTGGCGTTGACGTGAACGGGGACCAGAAAGATTTGTGTCCAAGTGGTCGCAGCAAAAGTACTTCAAGGTCGGGAAGACCCTGGAGTACAGCAGGAATGAGCTGTTTAAAGGCATGACGCCGCATCCGGTACCCAAACTCGAGTTGCTGCGACGCATTCTCCTCTCCAGCGAGGTCATCAAGAAGGTAAAGAACGCGGATAGACGGCGATAGGACTGACACCAGCTCAGGGGTAGCGTGTTCCCATCTGAGTTCACGCAACCGAGGGAACAGCGGCTTGCCACGGGCATGTTGTTGAAGGAAAAGAAACACAGACGAGTCTAATGTCTCCTCAACTGGATAGCGGAGAATCCGATAGAACTTCGCGTAGTGCACGAAGCGCGACCAATCCTCCGCAGAGATGGGACCTGGTAGATAATGCTGAACGTGCTGATCAGCACGGCGAGCTCGTCGACCCCGAGTAGCCACTCACATAAACATGAGGATAATGACGCGGATCAACGCCTATAGCCATGTCTTCGTTCGCATCGTCATCCGATTCACTATCCACTTTCCAATGTATGTACCTCCTCCGCGGGCCACTTGACACGGCCGATGGTGAAATTTGACAAGACTGCCGTGCAAATGCGGCTGAGATCTTCTCCCCTCCAAAGGACGCTCGATGCCATATTGTGGTAAGTGCGACACGTCCGCGCGCATCTAGCAAGAGCCGTCTGCGCAGCGGAGACCTCGTCACTGTACTTGAAGCAATGGGGAGAGAGCAGTTGGAATATCGCGTCTACTAGCTCGAGCGGGAGCATTGTTGTTGTACAGAGAGGAACTTTGCGCCGCGGGTGGATGAGAGACGAGAGTATCACATTAGGGGCTCAGCAGTGTGAGCCGTATATATACATGTAAATCCAGGGGCCACTCGTGTACAATGGGTGGCGAGAACCAAAGCGGCGGAATGAAGAGGAACAAAGCGTCGACTAAAACCCGACAAAGTGATCTTATATGTACACGACTAGCGATAGATCTAAGGAAACCGATAACAGCATCAATGACTCTGAGTGTGAACCTCGCCAATTGCAGGAGTCCACGGTGCTGAGTATGGCGCGTCTGACTCTTGTGCACCGTCGCACAACACGGTCACCTGATCGCGTTATTGCCGGTGTCGCTGCAATGCTCAAGATGTGCTGCGACAATCGGCCCGGGAGTGTGCCAGCTGCATGCATTATTTTGATTCTGTGCCTCACCTGGCGAGTTGCAAACTGTTCAGCCTTGTACACGGATTCTACTCACATCGCCCGCGGTCTTGACAGCATCGGAAGCACCATACTAAGCAACTGGTGTAGATACGTGCTAGTACTTGGCCGCCCGACAAAGAAGTCACCACAGTATCATTTACCGACTGAGTTAACGTACTAGCGCAACGCCTCGGACACCAGCACACTACATGATCTGTCCATCCTATATGAAAGCGTCCTCTCAGCTGACATTCGATAATGAACTTGACCGCTTTCGAAGTGCTCACCACGTACGCACCATGTGCACAAGTCCACGGTGCCTCGCCCATTCCCATTTCTAGCTGTTCCAAGCAGTTCATCCGCCTCGGCCCGTTGGATCATATTTTACCAAATCTTCAGGCCGTCGAATGACAAGCTGCGGGAACAGCGTGTTCAGGAAGCGGATGATGTTGCCGGGCGTGTCAGGAAACCCGGCCTTAAGGGGTATATCGACGCACAACTCTCGAAGCGCAGGTCTCTCTAAGTCCGAGTGGGAGTCTGCAGTGATGGTGGGTTGAGATGAGTCGTCCACGACCAACCGGGAAGGGTTGTAGTGGAACTCGGGTGATAGGGCCTTCACCTTCAGCTGCTCCAGCCGAGGACATGTCCGTGCGATGGCTCGAAGCGCATTGGGGGAGACGATGACTTCTGGCAAGGCGAGGGCACGCAGCGCAGGCCACGCTGCTGCCAAGGCAGAGGCGCTCACGTTTAAAGCTCCGCGCCTGACACGTTGATCAATACAGACATCCTGGAGACGGCGAAGCTCGAGCAGTGGACGCGCGACGGTGGAGAAGGACGGATCGGTTGACACTTCGCTGGGGAACAGGGGTGCGCAGAGGCACCATATGCTGAGACGCAGTCTCCGCAGAGTTGCCGCATTCCGGAGGGGCAGGGTTTTGAAGATCGTGGACAGCTCAGCCTCCACCATGGAGGGATCACTGTCCTCTGGCCCTGTGAAGATTATAATTTCCACATCCTCCAGGTTCGGTGCAACAATCGCGTCGACGAGGGTTGCCACCCCAGTCGCTTCTCCCCAGATTTCTAGGTGTTTCAGATTCTCGAATGTTCGCACGTCCGAAAGGTCGTCATCCTCGAGATCGTACGTAGGACCCGATTCGACGAGGCGGATCCCGAGCTCGAGGAGTTCCTTCATTGTAGAGATGACAGTAAGGGCGGCTCGCATGACGGCACGACACGACTCGGAGATGTGGAGGACTCGGATGTTTCTATTGAAGAACCAGTCTCCGGGTGCTGGTTGGAGGGGAAACCAGAAGACCTCGTGTCCCATCGTTCGTAGCCGGAGTTCTTCAAGGTTCGGGGCACCTCGTAGAATGGTCGGCAGGAGTGCCTTCAAGGCGTGTCGCCGCGCGCGATACGAGAATTCGCGCATCTCGGCATAGGTGTAGTCGTCGTCGTTGCTTTCTGTAAGGTCCAGTAGGCGAATGGATGGTGAAATTACTGCCAAGACCTCGGGCGTCGCGTTACTCCATACAAGCTCGTGCAAGTTCGGAAATAGCGGCGTCCCCTGCGCATGCTGCTGCAGGAAAAAGAAAAGAGTCGGGTCGATGCTCTCCACAAATGGGGCATAGCGGAGGATGCGGACAAAGGCGGCATAGTGCGTGAATCGTGCCCATTCTTCAGCAGAGATAGGCCCAGGTAAGTATTTCTTGTATATCAGTCAGTCAGAGCATCGCGATCCACTGGTTCAGAGCTCACATAGCTGTACAAATACCTTTCCGGCTCAACGCCCACAGCTACGTCTTCATTATCCTCATCGTCCGAGGCATCTCCCCCTCCCCAGTCGTCCTGGTGCCTCTCAGGCCACTTGACGGCGCCATAATCGAGGCTCCGTAAGACGGCTTCGAGAAAGGCACCCAATTCCAAATCTTTCCAAAGAACCCTTACGGCCGATTCGTGGAACGCGCGACACACGTGTGCACATCTTGCCAGAGCAACACGATTCCAATGAGCTTCGTCTTTGTTAATTTTGTGGTGTTTGAAAAGATGGCGTGTTTGGGGTGGTAGCTTTTGAAATATTTCATCCACCAGCTCGAGGGGAATCCTGCAGGCTTGGGGCTGAGGCATATCGTACTCGTAACGCGTAATCCAGCGGTTTACAGCACCTGAGTATCATTCCAGGAATGTTTCAGAGGAAGCTGAAGCAAATTGATGATTGAAGTACTCACCGTGGTCTCTTCGAGTCGCATTGGAGGTAGCGGTAGTCACGGTGAGCGGACTTCAATGACTCATGAACAGAGTTTGTGGGCTTATTGACATGCGAGAATGCAGAGTTATATATGGACAGTGAGACGTCGCAGGTACTGCCAAGCTGGTCGTTGAAGCTTTGAAGCTAGCTTGAAGACCGCTAGGGCAACGCTGCACGCAGCATCGTGACCATCACATGATCGTGTTTCCGTTACGCGTTCCCCCTCCTCATACGACCGCCCTCCCCACTCAACAAGGTCGTGTTTAGGGTCTGCCTACGGGAGACTACCCCTCCTCGTCCTCGCGCGTTGCTTCGACTACGGTACGTACCTCTATGGATGTTCTCTCAGAGCGTATCTGCGCCTACATATCCCGCGAGTGGCCATTCGCCACCTCTATCGCGTCTCATTGGCTGCCGTGTCGTCTCAATTCCAACACTCGACCGCTCGACGACCTCTGTCTGCCTGTCCTCGCTCTGTTCTCGCCCGGCCGCTGCTATGCTGTCCCTTCCCTGCCGTATGCGTGCCCCTTGTCGTTCGCTGTCTCTCTTCTTCTCCCGTTCCTTCACTGGCAGTCTACCCCCGTCCTGCCCCCGGTGCCCATGGGCCAATGTGCGCAGCCGAGAAACGTTTACCAGTCCTCCCAACGCCAGGCTTTCTACAGATTCTTTGGTTCACAGAGGTCCGTTTTCCTTTTGTTCCTTCCACCGCGCGCATCTATCGAGAAATCATGTCTCCTAACGTCCCACTCCTCTCAGCCCTCCGCCGTCCTCATTCCGCCATTCGTACCCTTCCAAAGCGGTATCAAATTTTGTCGTGCTCTCTGACTCGTTGGGAGTGATGCCTGGCGCAGCGCGATGCTCTCTGTCGTGTTCTGTGCGATCCTCGCTCCCCGCCTCAAACCCCAGAAGCAACCCCACTCCGCGCGTCATGCTGCGCTGCACGCTCGCCTCTCATCCTGAGACGTTTTTTCAGACATCCGGCGTTCCGCGCGGCTCGCGGTACGTCCGGCATCGCATGCGGGACAACCACGTACGGCCCAATTGACAGCACACAACGGACAGCCCCCCAGACGATGCTACAGACTACCACATACGTCGCAAGCGCTCTCCGTGCCTCGTAGTACACATAGGAACCCATCACCACAGGTGCGCCCAACTTCAGTCACTTGGAAACACACGCCAGATGGTGTTGCGCAGAAGATTCTCGACGAACGCGTACGATCTTACAGACGCTCTCCCAACCTGCAGCTGTCTGCAGGGCCTATACGCACTCGCCTACAACGTCTGGCGCGGACATTGGTCGCTGAACGTGACACATTCGACACCGACGCCCAACCCCATCGTCTCCCCTCACCCGCAGCGACCGCACACGCAAGCGTAAAGTGTGCTCTCCCGCACAAGCCCGCGTCGCAGGCCCAGTCGCTCGTTTCCCTCAACCGTCGACGCAGCCCGGCAAGGCAGGGCGGCCAGGAAGATCCCTGGTAAGCAAGTTTCGACACCAGCAGGCTCCAAGGTCAAAGTCAGCCGAACGGGACCTCGCCTGCTCACGCCGACGATGTTGGTGCACGTCGCACCCGAGCCCGTGTGCAAGACGCGGTAAGTGCTCCACCATCTATGTATGATCTGACGCGATGAAGAGCGCGACTCACCGATGCCTCGTCGCCCCCCCCCCCCCCCCAGCCCTTGCTTTTATGCTTCGCCTGCTCGGTGTGCTCGTCAGCGCGAAGCCAGTCGCCCCCAGTCGCCGTCGCCTTTTCGAGCACCGCGCGCGAATACGAGGATGGCAGCTCTTGTCGGTATTTCAGACACAGACGCACGCACGCTGCACGGACGGACACCGATGGGGCACACACGGTGGCGCAGCAAGATGCATCGTTCTTCAAGTTCGGGAGTGCGTGCACGTTGATTGGAGAAGGTTCGTCTTCGGCGATTCATCCTGTATGGTGGACGTTACGCGGCTACCTCGGACGTCGTGCTACGTGGAACGAGGCTCCCGCGTACGCTCACCGAGCAGGGGGACGGTGACGACGCGCGATTGCCTGGCGAGGCTCCTTCAACTCTCATGTAGGCAAGGTCGACGGCGGATGTGGTACGCCTTGGACGAAAAGTAGTTGTGACGAGCTGTGCTTCTGGTCAGTCGGTAGAGGCCTTGTGCGAGAGGGTGCGTACGTCCTTCCATTCACCGATACTCTGACACGGTCGTCCCGTTTAGCCAACCGGCGAGGGAGGGACACGCATCCAATCACGCGAAAACTCCATCTCACCACCTACTTTGCGGAATGTCGACCCAAGCCAACCGACCCAGGAGTTGCCTTACCGACGAAGCCGT